CTTATATAATAATGAAGATAATTGATGCCCTCTTGAAGAGACTTTTTCTCCTTGCGGGCTTCTACAAGATGGGTTGCTTATTGTCAAGAAGCCTCGATTAAAGTCTTGATATTCATGTCTCGAAGAATCAGCTCACGCTCCCACCTTGCCTGAGCCCTCTTGAGCACATCAAGCTCACTCCCCTAAGTGGCAACCAACAGCTCGGCCACCTCCCAAGACTCCTTGTACGCCTCCACCTCGTCCCAGAGCTTTGAAGAAGAGGACCTGAGACTGCTCAAGGTGACTGAATAACTCAGTCTTCACAAGTGCCCCTTGACAAGATAGCGCCGGCGCAGCTGACCTTTAGCTCTTCTATATCGAGACAAGCCATTCGGGCTCGCTCGTAGGCATCATCTCTCTCCCTCTTCTCGGCTTGGACCTTTGACTCAAGATACTTACCTTATCCTCGGCAAGGCTTATATAATAATGAAGATAATTGATGCCCTCTTGAAGAGACTTTTTCTCCTTGCGGGCTTCTACAAGATGGGTTGCTTATTGTCAAGAAGCCTCGATTAAAGTCTTGATATTCATGTCTCGAAGAATCAGCTCACGCTCCCACCTTGCCTGAGCCCTCTTGAGCACATCAAGCTCACTCCCCTAAGTGGCAACCAACAGCTCGGCCACCTCCCAAGACTCCTTGTACGCCTCCACCTCGTCCCAGAGCTTTGAAGAAGAGGACCTGAGACTGCTCAAGGTGACTGAATAACTCAGTCTTCACAAGTGCCCCTTGACAAGATAGCGCCGGAGAGCTTGGTGAAGGTCGGTGTTAGGTACCCCACTCAATAGCATCACGTCTTCCGTGAGAACAAACTGCTCAACTGCCCTAGCTTGGTCGGATATAAATTCTAAGACCAATCCCCTTGAATCAAATCAATGCTTAGGGATAAGTGTTCTCTTTTGAGGTTCCTTATCATGGCGAGGACTAGTCTTTTCTGACCTAATCAAAGTTGCCTTCATTTTCTCCCACTTATGAGGGAAAGCTCGTTGATACGATGAGCAAAGGGCTACTTGTATCGACCCTCATGCGTAGCTGCATGAGAGCCTCCACGATAGCGGACTCCGCCTTAGCGATCGGCTCCTTCTCTACAGTGGGCAGCTCCTCCAACAACCGGTTCATCAATAGTTGGCTTTTTTCGGTTCTCCTAGAGAGTTAGAAACCCCCTCCCTAGTCGGCCCATGTTTCAGCACTGACCTCCTCTTTAACTAGGGCTTCAATTATTGTCGACTCCAAGAGAAAGAGGCCCTCAGCAATTGCTTCTCACTCGGCAACTAGCTCTAGGAACTCGTCGCCCACCTTGAAAACTTCGGGTGGGGGAACATGAGAAGTTTTTGGAGTCAGAGCCCTACCAAGCTGCTCGGGCTCCGCCTCCGTGGCCTCATCTAAAGCGAGGAATCTCTCTGCATCGCTTTTAGAGGAATGACGATCCGTCGAGCCAGACATCTCCCTCCTGTTTTTCTTAGACTTCTCGGCTTAAGTTGTGGTCATACCTGAGCCCATCAACCGCGCCGCTATCTCAGCCGAGTTATTACGTATGGACTGAACCTCTTTCTCTGCCAACTCCGAACGAAGGCGCTTCCTATGTCCTATAGCAGGACCAGCTTGAGGAGCCTCTATAGAATCCCCCTCTAGGGCCAACAGAGCAGCCCAAGCCAAATGCATCTCAGTAGCGGGAGTATGAATGATAGCTTGGAGCACAACATTGTCTAAGAGATTCCTGCTATGACGACGTTCCTTATGGGCCTAGATTTTATCCAGTCCAGACATCTCTATCTCTGAAAGCTGCATAGCCTCCAAGCCCTCTTTTCCCATATCCGGCTACGTAGGACATGCTAGTATCAGGTCAGCATCGACAACAAAGACAAACCTCTCTTTCTGCCCTTGTTTGTGTCGAGGATGTCGGAGATCAGTCAAAAGCCACCAACCGTCCATATATAGAAGTGGCATTCATTTTTGTTGGCTTTGTTGCACAACAAATGGCCCAAAATCCCTAGGTTCGACTCCATGTGAACTCGGTGGCAAATGATGAGGAAGCCAATGAGGGCTATGGAGTTCGGCTTCAATTGAGCCGGCGAGATCCCCAAAGCCTTAAAAGACCTATAGAAGGAATAGGTGCAACGGTAGGCGCGCTTCTTCATTAGAACTGACATGGTGAAGGGGTTAGGAATGTCAAACTGCTTCACATATTGTTCAAGAAGGGACTAGAGCACCTTACATCTGTTTTTCTGAAGTAGAGCAATCTTGGCCTCATTGTGGGTGGTAGAAGGAGCTGCTATAGTCTGAGTGCCGGAAGCCATTAGCGATTGGAAAAGATGATCAGAATACAATAAAGAGTTTATAGAAAAAGAGTGGTTGAAGTTCTCACTAATGTAGTCAGAAGAAATTTTAGAGTTTTGAAAGAAGAAAGTAGGCATCAAAGAGGATATATATAGGCAGAAGTGAATGACATGTGGCGCAATCTAAACGACCAACTTGGTTACCCAGAAGCTATTGATTGTTCACGAAAATCGAAACGATCGCTCGTCAACCAAAGTGCCAATCCATCAAAACTGCTGCACGATCTGTGCTGACCTCAGAATGTCACGTCAATAGTTCTCTTCCATTAAAAATAGTTCAAATCCCCGAGGCGGCGGAAAGTTGAAACGATTTAGTTTCTCTTGAACTTGGCTTCCCAAGTTTGAGTAAAAGAAGCTAGTGTTATACCCTGAGAATTACTAAGTGTAATGAACACTCGAGAGGCGGTCACATGTCATGTTTAACTGGCCGAGTCCTACAAATCTAAAGACCCGACTTGGGTGTCAGCGTCGCCGACTCATCTAGCAATCCAAATATGAGACAAAAGGCGCCTTTGAGTCGGGATACACTATAAACAACCGAGATCAAGAAAAAAAGGCGTCTTCTACTCAGGCCCTCACTAGAGAATGTCTCGAATAACGAGACAACCTATCGGCTTCAACAGTCGTACTTCACTGCTCAATCCCCATTGCATTTGATGTTGAGTCAGAGTCATTATGACTCTTAGGGTCAAAGTTATGACTCGAACGGTGCCAACACTTTAGCCGTTCTGTCATTGTCGCATTAAATGCAAAAGGTACTCATTCATCCGACTGGAGCTGCTATAGTCTGAGTGCCGGAAGCCATTAGCGATTGGAAAAGATGATCAGAATACAATAAAGAGTTTATAGAAAAAGAGTGGTTGAAGTTCTCACTAATGTAGTCAGAAGAAATTTTAGAGTTTTGAAAGAAGAAAGTAGGCATCAAAGAGGATATATATAGGCAGAAGTGAATGACATGTGGCGCAATCTAAACGACCAACTTGGTTACCCAGAAGCTATTGATTGTTCACGAAAATCGAAACGATCGCTCGTCAACCAAAGTGCCAATCCATCAAAACTGCTGCACGATCTGTGCTGACCTCAGAATGTCACGTCAATAGTTCTCTTCCATTAAAAATAGTTCAAATCCCCGAGGCGGCGGAAAGTTGAAACGATTTAGTTTCTCTTGAACTTGGCTTCCCAAGTTTGAGTAAAAGAAGCTAGTGTTATACCCTGAGAATTACTAAGTGTAATGAACACTCGAGAGGCGGTCACATGTCATGTTTAACTGGCCGAGTCCTACAAATCTAAAGACCCGACTTGGGTGTCAGCGTCGCCGACTCATCTAGCAATCCAAATATGAGACAAAAGGCGCCTTTGAGTCGGGATACACTATAAACAACCGAGATCAAGAAAAAAAGGCGTCTTCTACTCAGGCCCTCACTAGAGAATGTCTCGAATAACGAGACAACCTATCGGCTTCAACAGTCGTACTTCACTGCTCAATCCCCATTGCATTTGATGTTGAGTCAGAGTCATTATGACTCTTAGGGTCAAAGTTATGACTCGAACGGTGCCAACACTTTAGCCGTTCTGTCATTGTCGCATTAAATGCAAAAGGTACTCATTCATCCGACTGCCGACACATGTAAAGTGTGGTCTGATCAACCAACTGCACCGACCTGGTCAAATTATCAATGTGCCCCTACCAACCCTCTATAAATAGTGGGCAATCTCCACTATGCGAAGGTACGCAAAAAACTGCTAAATTACTTCCTAAAACTAGATTATGCAAATTTGCTTAATCTATCGCTGACTAGAATGTCGAAGGGCATGTTGAAGCAACAAACCTCAGCCCTCTAATGGGTGTTTCCTATGCAGGAATCTTCCTTCTCTCAGTTGATCAGCCATCGAAGTAGACCAAGGGACCATAAACTCCTCCAAATATCCAATTACCTCTACAATTAACTATCTGACTATCTTATGTAAAGTTTGTGCTTCAAAAGAGAGACACTTTATGAAGTGCGAAGCGCACACTTCAGTTATGCTTTAATCAATGACGCGGGTTAAATAATTCAAGGTGTTTACCTTCAAAATTTTGAAGCGAGTTTCAAAAAAGTTTTTTTTCAAATATTGATGTAAATTACAGAGTGGTTTACAGAGCTGTGCACCAATAACTAGACTAAATCTTACATTCTCCTCTGCGATATTCAACATGCATATAACTTTTTTGTGTAGGAGGAATTGAGGAATATGCTTTTACATAACAAAAATAAGACGATAAGTCCAATTATTTTGCAATACTCTTTTCTTCCTAAAGAAAGCTAATGCGAGGAAAGTATTTGATGCAGTGTGCTTCCTCTTCCTCACTGCATGGACCTGTCTTGATTGCTTAGCTTGCGTGTGCAGGTTAAATTTACTTGTTTCACCATTACTAGATTTCAGGCAGATGAGATTAAATAAAGAAAATCTTTCTTTTCCAGGGTCATTTCTACTTTTGAAAGGATATACTAAAATAATAATGGAATGAATTGCTTATTAGTCATTTAACAATTTTTTAACTCATGTTGATGTATGTTCTCAGTAAATATCCCTTTATATTTTGTGCATAGCTAATACCTCGAATACTTAATTTCCTTTGATTTTAGTTGCTCCGCGGCCTGAAGTACCTTCATTCAGCAAACATACTCCACAGAGACTTAAAGCCCGGGAACCTCTTAATCAATGCAAACTGCGACCTCAAGATCTGTGATTTTGGTCTGGCACGAACAAGCAGCGGAAAAGACAAATTCATGACTGAATATGTTGTTACTCGCTGGTACCGAGCCCCTGAACTACTCCTCTGTTGTGATAATTATGGCACTTCTATAGATGTATGGTCTGTAGGCTGCATCTTCGCCGAGTTGCTCGGTCGCAAACCCATATTTCCTGGAACCGAATGTCTTAACCAGCTCAAACTCATAGTCAATGTACTTGGTACAGTTAATGATGCTGATCTTGGTTTTATTGATAACCCCAAAGCTCGTAAGTACATCAAGACCCTCCCATACACTCCCGGCATCCCTCTCCCTGCATTATACCCTCATGCAAATCCCTTGGCTGTAGACCTGCTGCAAAAGATGCTTGTCTTTGACCCATCTAAAAGAATTAGCGTCACTGAGGCATTGCAACACCCGTACATGTCACCACTTTATGACCCAAGCTCTGACCCCCCAGCTCAGGTCCCCATCGATCTTGACATCGATGAAGAGTTAGGAGAAGATATGATCAGGGAGATGATGTGGAGGGAGATGCTTTTCTATCATCCAGAAGCTTCTTCCTTGAATGTGTAAACTTCTGTATGGTAATAGAAGCAGGTTGGGTGGTACTTTGTAACATATGAAAACCAGCCGTATCTATATTTTGTTTCCGTTGCTTATTGTCATAAGATCTCTTTGGCAATTTCATCTGTAAATATTTACATATTGCAATAAGGTGGGAGATCATCTAGTATGATTTTGTTGTGATGATGGAGTATGTTGCTTTGTTTTGAATGTGTATCAAGGACAAAAATTGGTGTTTCACCACCAACAATGCATATTTAAAGAACTTCAGATTGCTTCTGAGTTCTGCTTGCATGATCCCTTTATTAAAACATGTGCACATTCATATTTTAGCATTATTTAGAAATTAAAGTTCTGATGTCTGTTACTAAGAATGTTTCTTGACTAAATGTAAATCTAGCAGATTCCATTTTCCTGGAAGCAAGTTCTTATTTCAGAGGAAAACCTTGAAGGTGCTGGAATTTGCAGCCAATGGCATGCATGGAGTTAATATCAAAGATGAGTGTTCTTCACCTTTTGATCTTTTAAATACTTCGGTTATTTGGTGGTCTAATCATTTTTCTGCAAGTACATTACATATAATTCCAGTATATTTATTTGGTAATTTTTATTTAATGTGAAACTATTATTGCTAAGCGCAACTTCTTTATATCTGAGACAAAACGAGCATGAATGCTCTGAAAAACTTGAATATCGTTTTTGGATATTTCAATTAGGATCTTATTTGACCTATTAGTCATAACTACTCATGACAAGCTTGAAATCCTACATCTTTGGCACCTTTAAGGTTTTAGAATTATGAATCTAATGTACTCCTTGGGAGATATATCATGATCAAAAGTTGAGCTAAAAAGGAAGCTTCTGTTCCTAACATTGATGCCCTCCATTGTATGTTCATCATGTTAATGGCAGTTTAAACTTAAATTTATGGTTATGTTTATATCTTTCATTGATGGCCTCCATTGTACAGTTGTACTTTCTAAGAATACATTGTGTGCTATAGTCCAGGGTTAACTGGGTATAGAATGCTAGACTTGATATATCTATGTAGGGTTTTAGAGTGCAGTGGAATAATAAATTGGTTTGGGCCTTTGTTAGGTAATCTATGCATGCATTCTTGAAGTCTCACCAAACATCATCTAGTCTCCTAGTCACAGAGAATGCCTGCGAACCAAATAAAAGTTCCATGATGATGCACTGTTTTGGATAACCTCTATAATTTATCACAATTCTGCAATAGCTCATCCTAAGACCATACCTGACTATATATTCTTTTGAGTGACATACTGCAGCAGTTCTTGCTTTATAGGCACATCAAACCTTAAAGACCACATGAAAAGCGGAGATATACTAAGGAAGGAGTGGGGTTAAGGATGGCTGGTGATCTGCAGGATATGAAAAGCTTTAGATTTTGTTGAAAGAAATTAAAGCAAATATCTGTAGTATGGGAAGGAAGCAGGTTTCAAAGTCTAGGTTCACTGAAAAAGATATAACCCTTCTCTATTTGTCTGAGGTGGAAGGGCTTGTACAAGAAGGAAGCCAAATGACCAAATTAGAAAAGTCGGGGATATGGTATGATATGTGATAAGGTTTGGGTTTCTTTTTCTATCTATATAGTAAGCGAAAAACTGTGAAGGCTGCATGCAAGGGCCCCTTATTCCCTTAAGGAACTGGTCCTAGAATTCGTTAGTGGACAACCGCAACAAGATTTGAGCCAGTCTATATGTGAAGATGGCTATAGTTAACTTAGGGAGAAACAGAACTGAATGGAAGAATGTGATTCATGTGGCCAACTCCAAAAATTTGGGATGAAGGCTTTGTTGTTGTTGTCATATGAAAGATGGCTGAAAAGTTTATTCAAAGGTAGAAGCTGTTTTCTGTCATGAGATGGTTTATGACTCCACAATGATATTGATCTGCCTTTCTTTGTGAGAGTTGTAATGGGTTTGGCTGTGAAAATTCTTGTTTTTAGTAGATTTGGGTTTATTTGAGTTCGAAAAAAATTTCGTTTTATTTATTGTCCAAGAGGAGTACGTCTGCTTAACCTTGGATACTTACTTGTATGGTGCACTGACATTACGTTGGCTTTGAACTGTGTGGTAATTATGCATGTAAATTTTAGAGTGTGGTTGTGTTATATGTCATGTTATGGTAGAAAAGAGAGGGTTGACATATGGTAAAAATATGGAAAATGAAAGTTGTGCTCAGTTAACTTTTAGCTGTCCCCATCTTGATTGAAATATCTTGGCTAATGATAAATTGTTGAAATAGGCTGTCTTTTAATGTATGTATTTGTGCGTGGAGGCTTTTGTGTCATTATTATAGTAAAGGCCATGCCTCTATTGTTTGCAATGTGCTTCTGCTCGTGAATATTTGAGGTTAGCTCAGGAGGCATCATGCGATAAAAGAAATTGTCTTTGGTCTGAGGTTTTCGTGGTGTATAGCTTAGACACTTGAGGAAGGCATTTTCAAGAGCCACACTAAGACTGAGATATGAAGCAGCTTCCGTTTAATATCCTTTTTCTTTTCACATCATATATAGGTTGTTCGGCTGTAATATATACAACTCTTTGTCATCATCTCTTTTGTTCTTGGTTTCTCTATAATCTAGAGAACGTGCTGGATAAATATTGCATTTTGATGATAACGAAACCTAGTCGTGGGGTTTAGGACTGAAACATCACTATGGATAAAGGCAGCATTTTTATTTGATGGGACGTTTACTTTATTTGAGAAATGTTCTAGTGTTTGGAATGCGGTGAGATGTTTTCCTCCTAATCTTTGGAAAAGGTATTTCAGTTTATAATTGGTGACCTCAGGTGTTTTTGCTTGCATTGAGGACCTTCGGCAAAACCAATCAAGCTTAAAATTTGTGTGTATGAAATGTAGTCGCGTCATGGTTTAATAATTTTATCTGTCAATGCATCCCACAAAATATCAAGTATTTACATGTCGACAATCTGAAGTAACCATTGTACCCTGTAGTTCTTTGTTCTATTATTTAGCTTAAAGATCTTTAATTGCTTTTGCTGAAGAAGAATAAAGCCGCGGATCTTTTGGCAGCAATACCTTTGCTGGCACGTGTGAAGCACTGAAATATTCAAGGACCACGTGAAAGGCAAAGATTAAAAAAAGTGGAATTTAAGGATTGGTGTTAATAAAGTTGAAAGATTATGGGTAGTATTGAAGAGTTTGTTCATGGACGAGCCCTCAGAAAAGAGAGTTACATGGAAATCGAGGGTTTGAAACCATTTTTTGTTATGGATAAAACTAGACTATTCTTGCTGAAGAGTGGAGTTTGGCAAACTGTAAGTATATTAACTTCGATGAGACATTGACATGTTAAAAGAGTTTGTTAGTTATCTTCAAACTCATGTTGTATGGAGGATTCTCTTCATAAATAATCGTAGATTTGCAGGGAGCAAAATATTGTAGGATCACCAGTTGTATAGAGAGGTTTACCCGATGACAAACATAAAAATTATTGACATTGCTTCCCTCATGGACCAACCGTTTCCTGGACAAGATGTGTACTACATCGATAAAACACTGTCAATTCCTGAAGCCTGTCAACCCCATCATCTATACGCATTTCCATAACAGGATAGTTTGCTCGTCATCTTTGCATGAACTTAACAAGTGATCATCGTCATTGTGTTGAATGTCTGCCTGAACCTTCTGAATGTTTTCAGCTCCGAGTTTGGCCTGTACTTTTATCTTAGTGATGTGCATATTTGACAAGTTAGTGACATGATAGGGTTCCTTATAACATGACAAGGCTAGATGCTTACTTAACTGAAAGATGGGCCTGAAACCCTGTACTTGGGAGTCTCGGACTGCCCAAGTCCCTAAGGAATGAGACTATTCTCACGATTTAGTGATTGGATCTGTTAGACGTAGCTTCAGAGTTTGAATGTACCGAAGGGAGTTTTAAGTTGTTATAACCTGTAAAGGGAGTTTTAAGAAGATAACAGCTTAACTTCGTCCTTTTCATGTAGCTAAGATGTTAAACTTCAGAGTTTTGACGTAATGGAAGTGGCTTTTAAATGGTTTTTGAATGAAATGCCGTCAGGATCAGTACCTCTTAAAAGTGTCATGCGAATGAAGGAACCTGAAGTTGAAGCAGATATCAATTTTTGCAAAAAATTATGCTTTTGGTGGGGAACAGTGAACATTAGGGTATCATATCTGTATGGCTTTTCTTTCTGTGCAAGCACATGGGTTTTGTTTAAAGCTGAAAGATACGGAAGATATTGAAGAAGATTTAAATGTGGGGGCACTTTTGGTACTGAGCCCCTGAAGCAGACTTCTCTTTGGTCCTTAAAAACTCAAAGATCACAACTTTTTTTTGTGTGTGCTGATGATATATTGCTGTTATTTATAGAACAAAGGGGGCTAAGCATTATAAAAAGATCTGGGAACTTTTTCGCTAGTGATAAGTGATAGAATGGTAGGGCACTGTTCTTCTTTTCTGATAAGTGACCAGGTCAGACTTTTCTTGACCGAGCTTAGGCCCATGATCATATAAATGTTGATTTTTTATTACTTGGCTAAATTGTAAATAACCCCCTTGATATCTCTCGACTAGTTAATCGGGGCTTCCCGTTCACAAATCATGAGGAAGGGTGTTGTTATCTGCATTTTATCTTTCCGAAAATGATGACAATTAAGAGGGTTAGGTACTAATAAATTAGTTGAAAGACGTTAAGTGCAGGTGCAATTGAAGGTATAGACAGGGGGTTATCTGCAATTTATCCTTTTAACTTTTACAAAGACATAGACTGTGCTTGACAAATCTTTAAAACTGGGCCAAGGCTGGACATGACCTATTTTTAGGTATTTTTTTGTTTGACAAAAGACTTGGCCGAAGTTGTCCTAGTTTTTTAAATAAAAAAATGCTCACTAAATTGGTTTTAGTTTGGGCCACCGCTCTTTAAGATAAAACTCTTATACTGGGCTAGGACTGATCATGACCTAGTTTCTGATAGATTGCCAAACACACCCTCACAATCATAAATGATGCAAATGATTACTCTGCTTGAATTAATCACTCAAAGAAGAAGACAGATTTGCTTTGTTTCTGATAATGATTACATATGAACATGAATGAAAAGATTGGGGTCTAATGTTTTTGTCAATGGAGCCCAAAGTCAATATATGAACATAGATATTGTCTGTTCTTATCTTTTAGACCAGTACTTGGTGAAGCATTGAAGCGCTTAGGCATGCCATAATTCTGATTGACATTATCCGTTTTTTGGAAGAAATTAAGTATAAAGTGT